CCTCCATCGGCGGCGAACGAGGGAGAAAAGCGAGAAGGGGGAAGTTTAGGGCTCGAGGTTCGAGGTCTTCGGACGCTTTTTGGGAACCCCCAAACCGGGTGGTGAGATACCAGGTGGCGACCTGGAATCCCCAAAAAGGTCACCGCTGGGTTTGGGGACGCGGGGTCACCACCGGGTTTTGTGACTCCTGGACCCACCAGTGTCCGGGACATCCTCGGGAAACCGCACGAGTCCCCAAACCGGGTGGTGACACCAAATCGCCCGAGACTCACCGCCAGGTGTTGTCACCACCACGTTTGGGGACAACCAAGCCTTGGTCGGTCCTCAGCGCTTTCCCAACCCTGTGGTGCATTTCCAGCGGCTGCGCCTCGCCGTGGGCGTTCCGGGGGTGCCCGGTTCGTCCCGAACGGCCCCCAGAGAGCGGAGTCATGACCCAAAAAGCACCATGCGTGTGTGCGCTGGAGCACAGGCTATCCAGGGGAGCGACGAACAGGGGGGAGGAGGAGGAGGAGGAGGAGGAGGAGGAGGAGGAGGAGGAGGAGGAGGAGGAGGAGGAGGAGGAGGAGGAGGAGGAGGAGGAGGAGGAGGAGGAGGGGCAGGAGGAGGAGGAGGAGGAGGAGGAGGGGGATGGGGGAGGGGGAGGGGGAGGGGAAGGGGGAGCCGCGGGCGGCGGCGCACGCTGCGACCGTGAAGATCTTGTGACTGTGTGTGTGCGCCGGAGCACAGGCGGCGGGACTTCTCAGGAGCCCTCGCGCCCTCCGAGAAGTTTGTTGTGTCTTCGGGGGAGGCTAAACAGAATCTCTCAGAATGCCGGGAGACTTTCGAGCCTTCTGAGGAGGCCCGCCACTTACTTCTCCGCATCGATCGCCGCCGACGGGTAGAAGACGACAAACATGTGAGGGCTCGTGTCTTTGCAGCAGGACTCAGCTGACCAACAAGACAGTGAAAAAAACAGACTCGCTTGAGCAAGTGCAAGAGTGAGAGGTGGAAATAACACCATGGACGAGGAACGGCCCCACGGGGCTTAGCGCATACCGACACATCTGGCGTGGGCTGTTGCGTGGTATACGCTACGGCCCCCGATGGGCCGTAGCGCAACATGGAGGGCCGTAGGTGGGGTTGTGTCGTCTGAAGTTCAATCAAACATGCGAGACAACAGCTCCCGAAAGCCCGCGCAGATCTCGCGGGCCGGCGCTGGGCACTCTCCCCCCCGGCGCGCGGAGCGCGAGCGCCATGGGCGGCGCAGGAAGCGCCGCTGGGGGTCTCAAAACGCAGATCCAAGCAAATCGCACAAAGTTCCTGATCCAGAACGCACTGGCAAAGAGGGGAGGTAGCGGGGGGGCAGAACGCAGCTGACCGAGCGCGCGTGCCGCGCAGACTGGACGTGGCGCTGAGAGGAGAAGGGGGGAGGAGCACAGGAGGGGAGGAGAGGGAGAGGCGACGAGAGGCGGTGATGGCATGGGGCCCAGCTCCTGTGGAGAGGCGCCGAGCGGGGATCGGCGATGCCCCACCGATGGATATCTGCGAGGTGCCCCCCACCGCCCTGGGGATGTCCGCGGCCCGCAGCCCCCGCCGGACCCCGGCAGGGTTTCTTAGGTCGGGCATGCCCTCCTACCGGCGGACTTTGGCCCCACACATATACCCAATAGCAAAGCAATACTCCGACAGAGCCAACGCATGATCGAACACATCGCCCCCGGACTGTTGTCGAGTATTCCTCCTGCAGCGGGACGTGCCCGACTTCCACGCCAGGGACGCGGCCGCGGCGCCTTCAGCTCGGCCGTGGCCTTGTCCTTCCGGGCGGCGGCCACCACGGCCGCCCGCGCCAGCTCTGCCCCGACCTCGCCTCGTGCTCGGCCGCGGGGGGGGGGGGGAGGGGGGGGTCCCGGCGTGCCTCTGCCTCCGTGCGTCCGCCGTCGTCCTCCGCCGCCTCCCGAAAGCAGGGCCGGGAGAGCCGGCGAGGGAACAAGAACTGCACTGGAGGTCAGCCCACGAAACAGCTGAAACCCAAGAGGCCCAACCCTCAAGCCCGAGACCCCAGGGCGTCCCTTGATTCTTGGTGTGGGGACGTCGCGCTCTCCATCGCAGAACCATCGAGACCCGAGAAACCCAGGGCACCCTGGAGGCAAGCAGGGTGGCTCTTGGCATGGGCCCCCACCGTATGACCGACACTGAAGGGAGGGTGAGGACGAGGACGAGGAGGGGCTTCGTCGTGCGGCGCCCTCGCAGACACAAAGCCCCGACATCCTGAGTCAGTCAAGTCCAGCGCGACGAGGGGAAGGACACTACGGCGAGGGCATGAGTGAAACACGGACCTGATCTGTCCGCGACCGCGCCAGAAGCAATAGGGAGCGCGGCCGAATCCTCTGCGACGATGCTGCAGAAGATGGTGATGCGACCGCAGAAGAGCGTGATCCTCCCCGATGAGAACACTGCAGAACATGATACCACGTACTACGACACCGTTGAAATGTTCCCTGATGGTACCGTGAAGAAAAAAAAACATCCCCCGGCGATGCCGCAGAAGCCATACCCGATGCTCACACTGCCGCAAAACCTCTGATGCCGCAGAGCCCTCTCCCCAATGCCGCCGCGAGAGGCACGCCGCGAACGGGACGTCGCCAAAGGCGCGCCGCCAGAGGCACGCCGCCCTGCTGCCGAGCTCTGGCCGCCCGGCAGCCACCGCCCTCCTGGCGCTGCCGCGCCGCCGCGCTGACGCGCAGGGACCGATTTTTTCCCAGCAGCGGCTCCGGCCCAGGGTTCTCTCCTCGTGCTGGCCGGCCGGGGGCCCTGCACCAGAATGGCGTGTCGAGCGACGCGCGCCGGAAGGTGCCGCGCAGCATGATGTGCGCGGAAAGGGGGGGGCTCTCGATCGTGCGTCCGGGCGCGCAGTCGTTCGGCACGGAACGGAACGCCGGTGCGGGCATGCGCCCGGGCCCCTCAAGGAAGAGGCGGGTGAGGCCATAGCCTCGCATGAGAAGCTGCGCGCGTCGGGGGTCTACTCAGGACAATGCATGCTTCAAGAACTGATTCCCAGACAGTCCCTACTCATCCGTTTTTTCATGATATAGCCACGTCGTCTCGTTGAAATCGTAGTGCTTCAAACGTCTCTCGCCGCAGCGGAACCTCCAGGGGGGGGCCCCAGCTTCTGGCAGTCGGGTTCTCTACGCGTGACAACCTGTGCGCGGAGGGGGTGCCCAACATGCGCCTGGCGCGCGCGTGCTGGGCACGTCGTTTCACGTGTCTTGGCGGCGCGCACAAGGGGGTAGGGGCAGGGGGGAAGCCTTCTTAGAAGGAGGCTGCTTCTTAGAAGGCGCCGGCCTTGCATCTACAAAGAAGGCCCCGCGCCTTCTAAGAAGCAGGGGTGCTTCTAAGAAGCCTTCCCCCCTTCCCCTACCCCCTTCTGCGCGTGGCCAGGTGTCCACGGCCCCGAGGGGGGGGCCACCTTCCACGCAGCGAATTCTTTACGCACTTGATGTTTTAAAGAACGCAAGGCAAACACATCGTTGAGTAGAGGCATATTTCCCCTACCCCCTCCAGATGGGATGGGTCCCAGGGGTTCCACAGGCCCTCCCCCTGGATGGGATGGGGGGGGCGACGATAACGACGACGAGGACGACGACGAAGACGCAGACGCAGACTTCGTCGCAGACGCAGACGCATATGCCGACGGAAGACGACGACAGCGACCACGACGACGGCGACGACGAACCACTCCACACCCACGGGGGGGTGGAGGGACATAAGCACCTACCACTACGCCACGCCCACAGGGCCACGACCGCAGGGAAGGAGGGGCGATCCCATTCGCGAGGCCTTCGCAAGGCTCACGGGAGTACCCATCCAGCGGGGGGTGGAGGGGCGACCCCATTAGCACTGGGGGAGGCGGATCCCTGGATAATATGTGCCTTCCTTCCGAAGCCAGGAAGGCGCATCCACCGACCCTGACCCGACATGGGCCTGGGCGGGATCGGTGTGGATGTATCATCGGCACGGTCCGCAGCCGGGGGGCACCAAATGCCCCCCCCCTCAGGGAACAACCGCGAATTTTCTGCAAAAATCTAATGGCCTGCGCCGTTCTGCAGACCATGAGACGGCCTCCAACCTTCCTCGGTGATAACCGAAAATGCCGTACGGTCCTCTGAACCTGCTGGCCCCGGGATGTCTGCCTCCATTACTCGAGGGAGGCGCATGCGGCAGATCTGGGGCCCATCCTCGGTTGGCAAAAAGGTTCCGACTAATGAAGACGATGATGGTGATCAGAATGATGGCAACGCGGGTGATGATGACAACGGTGCGTGCGATGATTATGCTGGCGATGATTTAGTTGCCGATGGAGGCGGCAGCCAAAATGGTGATGCTGATGAGGAGGGTGATCATGCAAATGATGATGATGCTGCTGATGATGATGCCGCTGATAATGATGATGCTGATGATCATGGTACTGGAGATGCTGATGGTGAAGATGATGTTGCTGCTGATGATGGTGATAACAAGGGTGATGGTGTTGACGAGTACGCGGCTGTTGATATTGCTGGCTGTGACGTTAATGGTGCTGCTGCGTATGGCGATGACCACGATGATGACGAGGATGATGGTGGTTGTGATGATGCTGCTAATGCTACTAGATGGTAATGTTGCCGTTGATGCTGCTGAAACTGCTGCTGTTGCTACTGATGCTATGGTGGTAGTGATGATGACGCTGACGCTGATGCTGATGATGATGCTGATAGTGGTGATGATAATGATGCTGCTGATGATGATGGTGGTGGTGGTGATGATGATGATGATGATACTGAGAAGTATGGGTATATGGGTATGACGATGACGATGCTGATGCAAGGTATTGGCGGTGACGCTGACAAGACTGATCACGGTGCCCCCGGGTCCCCTCGCACCCCTTTCACCACCAGGCTGGCCTGCAGCGCTCATCCTCGAGGCCTTCTGCATCAGCGAGGAGGAGCTGGAGGCGGCCACCTGGAGCTCGGCCAGGCGGGCCTTCAGCCTCCAGGGGGCCGCCCCACGGAGGGACGAGGAATGAGACGGAGGAAGCGGAGAGGGGAAGGGAGGACAGCTTCCCCTTCTTCCGCACCGTTGCAGGGCACAGGCCTGCCGCTGTTTTTTTTCCACAACTGACGCCACAAGCTTGCTCTTCAGGTCCGATCGACGTCAAAAGGGACGACAGGACGAAACCCACCCCTGAAGGCGCAGCGCGTCGTAATCTTAGCACGCCTTGGATGGCGGGCGAACGCCTGCAGACGGCGGGGGGGAGGACAGGACGGGGAGGGAGATGAGCGGGGGGCGAGGAGGAGGTGCAGCAAGAGCAGGAGAAACCGGGGCAGGAGGCGCGACAGCCTGAGGCAACGATGGGGGGGGCCCGCACGGTGCGTTCATCTCCACGCTCAAGATCCTCGGCCACAAGCAGGCCCCCCGACCTGGACCCGAGGAGCAGCCTTAACTGGTGGGCCACTTTCCTACCACCACTACCGTAGGTAGGACGGAGGAGAAAGGAGGACACGGAGGTTTTCCTGATCATTTTCTTTCCCCCCTTCGTCCCATTCCCCCCCCCATCCCCCCCCCTCGTCCTCCAGCCCCACCTCATTTTCCTCCTCCTCGTCGTCGTCCTCCTCCTCCTCCCCCTCTCCATCATCGACGTCATCATCATTCACGTCATCATCATCATCATCATCGTCAACATCATCATCGTCATCATCACCCCCCCGTCCAACCTTTGGTAGCGGAGGTGGAAATTCGGCCCCTCACACATGCAAAACGCAACTGCCGTCGCCAGGAGGCGCGCCTACAACGCGGCCGACCCTACGCGGATATCCGCGGGCCCTCAGATGAAGAACCGAAAAAAGCGCCGACGGTTCGCGCAGTTAAAAGACGTCACGGGGAGAGGCGAGGAGGACAAGGAAGAAGAGGAGGAAGAGAATCGTCAGCGCCAAAATCGGCCCTTACTACAGCGTCTTGTTCGCAAATCCCCCTCAGGCGCCCCCCAACAGGTCGGGCGAATCGGGGTCGCCCGGCGCCGCGCCGAGCGCTCGCCCCCCCTCCCCGTTGGCGATTCGCGTCGGGAGAGAGAGAGAGAGAGAGTGAAAGAGAAAGAGAGAGAGGAAGAGAAAAAGAAAAAGAGAGAGAGGCATGTGTATAGAGCTATATATATATATAAATAATATATATATATATATATATATATATATATATATTACTGAAACCCGCGCGCGCGCTACGCGCGCGCGTAGGTTCTAGTCATAGCTTCTCCAGGGCTCTCCGCAACCACAGCCAATCTCTACGGCTGCAAGTCCGAAGAGGCCCGGCGCGGCTCCTTCTCCGTGCTGCTCTGCCTTCCTTCCCCGAAGGAGATCGCGCTGGAGGTCTTTCGCAGTCGTCGTCGTCGTTGTCGTCGCAGTCGTCGTCGTCGTCGTCGTCGTCGTCGTCGTCGTCGTCGTCGTCGTCGTCGTCGTCGTCGTCGTCGTCGTCGTCGTCGTCGTCGTCGCAGTCGCCGTCGCAGTCTCACTCGTCGTCGTCGTCGTCGCAGTCTCACTCGTCGTCGTCGCCGCAGTCTCAGTCTCAGTCTCAGTCGTCGTCGTCGTCGTCGCCGCCGTGGTGCGACACCGGCTGGCTCAGGGAGGGCCCGGAGGGCAGGGGCGGGCGCGGGAGCGGGCGCGGGCGCCGCGCGGAACTGGGCCCAGGACCCGGGAGGCGGAGGAAGAGGAGGAAACGGAGGAGGAGGAGGAGGAGGAGGAGGAGGAGGAGGAGGAGCAGGAGGAGGGAGAGGAGGAGCAGGAGGAGGAGGAGGAGGAGGAGGAGGAGGAGAGGAGGAGCAAAAGGGAGAGGAGGAGGAGGAGGAGGAGGAGGAGCAGCAGGAGGAGCAGGAGGAGGAGGAGGAGGAGGAGGAGGAGGAGAAGGAGCAGGAGGAGGAGGAGGAGGGAGGAGGGGGAGGGAGAGGAGGAGGATGAAGGAGGAGGAGGAGGAGGAGGAGGAGGGGGAGAAGGAGGAGGAGGAGGAAGAGGGCACGAAGCGCCCGTCTCACGAGAAAGGAAGCCTCTTGGGGCGTGTTGGGAGCTGTTCGGAAGCCTCTCGGGGCCTCTTCTGGAGCTCTTGGGGGCGTCTTGGGGTTTGTTAGGGACCTGCTGGCGGCCCGGGGGGCCGTCCTGGGTCTCCACTGGGCCGTCTTAGGCGCGTCTTGGGCTGTTATGGTGCCCTCTTGGGCTGTCTTGGCGGCCTCCTCTCGGGGGCGTTTTGAAGCGTCTGGGGCGGTTTGGGGAGCCTTTTGGGCTGCCGCGCAGCGTGCCCAAGCCGTTTACCAGTGTATTGTAAGCTTGTAAGTTTTCCATGGGATGATGGCGATTTTCGCCTTCGGGGGTTTTCTTGGGAAAATTCTTGGGCCTCTCTGGGTGCGCTTCGGGAGCCTCTGAGGCCGTCTTTGCGCCATCCTGGGCGTGTTGCACCCCTCTTGGGCTATTTTCTCGAGCCGCACCGTGCTAGGACAGAGTCTGAGTGCGGTCTCGGGGCCCCTGTCCTCCCATGCGGTGCGGAGGTCCTTGGGCCCGGCCAGGGAGCCTTGGCCCCCCGGGATATGTGTATATATATATATATACATATATATACACACATATATATATATATATGTATGTATTAAGGAACAGATTACCGCGCGGCTGTTCCCTCTTCTTTTGTGGCGGCCTCGTCCTTCCTCGCGACTGCTCACCTAATCCGAAGATCGCCGCGTAACCTCTTCTCTCGCGGCCGCTCGGAGAGCACCGCTGCGCGCGAAGAGCGGCGGGCCCCAGGATCCCGTTGCGCAGCCCGCGTGGGGTCGCGCGAGCTGCGGAGGGCGGGGCGCCGCGGCCACGTCGAGAGGTGGCTGTGTCGAGAGGGAAGAGCAAGAGGAGGATGAGCGCTCGGGCTCCAGGAACGTCTGGGGTTCGGCCGAACACGAAGCAGAGAGGCAAGAGCGGTGGCGCGCCTGGCGGTTTGCCGAAGGCGAGCAGCAGCACATCGATGGACAACTGAGGCGCCTCCTCCTGGGCCCTTGACACTACGATATGAACTGGGCAACGTGCCGATGTAAATTGCAAGGGGCAGTGCCTGGCCAGAAGAAAATGGAGCAGGATGGTAAATGCAAACCACATTGAGTGCAACCTCGGGCCGTGTCGGCCAGAGAAGATGGGCCCTGAACGGCCTGGTAACAACATCACATTCGGCTACACGCATCAGTTTGTCGCAAGCGGGTTGGTTACACAAGGTGTACTCTTCAGTGGGCCCTCGGAACCTGCCTGCGGTGCACCACGAATTGCCGATCTTTCTCAATGGTCTACATCAGCTCTACTCGCTCGGGGTCGGAAGTGCGTCGGCCTATCATGCAGGAAGCTATGTGGGGGAAAGTCGGCACGGTTCAGAAGGGTAAACTGGGCTTTATGCTGGAAGCATTTCCTCCAAATCCAGGGGCCCGCGGAACCTGATTCATGTACTCACAGTTGCGACAAATGGAGATGGCAATGCTCGTATTCCACCAAGGGGCCCCAGGCACGCGCGATCCGGCATTCGCCACTCTGGGCACAGGCGGATAAGCGTTCGACTGCATGGCGAAATTTTTGGGACGTCGTGACTGCGCCAACATTGCTGCGCGAGCGGCTGCCTCAAAGTCGCGAACTCAGATATTGAGGCCCAGGGGGCCGAGGTTAGGTTACGAATCGGATGAGAAGGAATTGCATTGCGAGGACCGCTGGCGAACATCTGGAAGGACTTGCCTTCCGTGGCCAGGGCAAAAGACGTGGGGAAGTAGAACTGGGAGACGTGGGGTGGGGGGGCAGAGATGGCATGCCTGTTGCATCTGGCAATAGATCTCAAGAGGCCAAGCCCGAACCCTTGAACGCCCCGGCTTCTCTCCATGCGCTTCGCGGCTGGTGCGATCCAGCTCTCTGTCGCCCCTCCGAGGCCGGCGATGATGCCAAGATGTTTGGCGGCACGCCTGAAAATGAACTCGCACAGCTGGATGCCATATCCCTGAAGACGCTCACGAAACTCGTCATTCGACATCGGGTGGATCAACAGAATGACGGTTTTGGCAGGAGTCCACGCGGAGTCCTGCATCGCGAGCAGCAAGCTCCCAAGCGGGAAGCGCAAGTACTAAACTAGCAAAGACATCGGAACTGCCCAGGCCTGCGTCGCCGGTGAATACTCCAAGGGCGCCTGACTGCGGTGGCAAACGACACTGCGGGCACCTGAGGAACAAAACGAATCCCACACAGAAGAGCGAACCCGAGAGCGGATAGCCCTGCTTGATGTCTCTGAGAGCCCAAAAAGCGAGACCAATTTTTATACACCACAACCGCCCGCAACAATAATTTACCGCAAGAAAGGTTAGGGGCAGGGTCATGCCAGACGACGCTGCGACGCCACGGCGAGAAGGAGCGCGGCGCACACGACAGCACAGCCTGCGAACGGCGACGACGATGGAAGACGGGACGTTCACGGCACCCAAGACCCACCAGATCACGCTGTGGAGGAGGCCGGGGAAGGCGGCGCGCACGTCGAAAAAAGGCGAAGCCAGTAGAGAGGAGCCCAATTTGGTAATACCACTGGAGGGTCCAATACTCAAGGGTGAGGAGGCTGTCGTTCAGATTCGTCTTCTTCACGAAGCCACGTCGTTGAGCAATGGCCGCTTCGCAACGCGATTCCGAGGAGTAATTCAGAGTCCTGGAGATCAAATTGTCATCGAATTTGGAGGGAGCAATAAGATGCGTGCCTCGGGCTTCCTATAGATGCCGCGGGACTGATCATCGGCCTCGACCCCTTGGCCAGGAAGATCGCCTGGCAAAAGTTGAACGCGACAGTGAGACTGTCGCCTCGCGGCAGTGACAGGTACAGGGCGCGGCGTGGCAGTCTAAGGCCGACAGGCCTTTATTTGCCCACCTTGAAAATGGGGCGCCATCGGGGCCCACTCCAGAATCGCGAACCTTGGAGGCGTGCTTCGCAAGGGTCTTCCAGGCAGATTCCCCAAGCAGTACGACCAGGAGCAGGAACGACACGCGGCCTAAGCTGCTCTCGCGCCTCAGGTGAGCCTTTCTCCACGATGCGAACCTGTCCCCAGTGTTCGGCGAGGTGTTCAGCGACGCGATTCGGATCTGAGGCGCGTTCCGCTGCGGGGTCGGCGACCCCGTCGAGCGAGATGCGACAACTGGTGCCAGACCGGACCGAGAGATGCCGGCGTAGTCGATGCTTTTGAAGAAGCCGTCTTACTCACGCGCGTGCGCGGGTCTGCGTCGACCTTGGAAGTCAGGCTCTGGATGTTATCCGTAGGGGGCCACATGCGAACCCTACCCCTACCCCCCACGATTTCTGAGGGGGAGGGTGGGGTTCACTTCGCTCGGGAGCTCCCGAACGGAGTGAACCCCACCCTCCCCCCCCGAAATCGTGGGGGGTAGGGGTAGGGTTCGCATGTGGCCCCCTAATCCGTAGAGAGCCCATCAAGCCAGTGGTAAAAACTGGCCATGTCTGCCCAGCACAGGTCGTTGCCACGTATGATGAGAGCCTGGCGCGGGCGCGCCCCGAGAGCACGCTGCGCGCGAGAGGGGGGCCCGTGCTGCATAGCCCGGCGCGCTGCCAGCGCCCACGAACATCTGTTAAGGCAGAGGCTCGGTCTCGCGGCGCTCGAGGTCGGCTCTGGCGATCTCGGCGGCAGCGCGGACCGCCGCCGAGCTCTGGCTTCGGCTCGCGCGCCCTCATAGGCTCGGGCGCCCGAGTCATCCGGGGGCAACTCGGGCCTGGGGCAACACGGGCTTGGATTCCCGGAGGACGAGCCCGAGCCAGCCCCGACCCGCGCCACCCCTGACGCTTCGGGGCTCCGACAGGCCGACGGAGCTCGCGGCCGACCTGCCGTGCGCCCGTGGCAGCAAAGGGGGGGGGGAAAGAAAAAAAGACGGGGCCGCAGAGGGCGTCGGGGTCAGAAGCACGGGACCCCTGCTCCGTCGAGGGAGGAGGCGATGAAAGGCACTGAGAGAGGATGGAGCAGCGAGGAGGAGGAGGAGAAGGAGGAGGAGGAGGAGGACGACGACGACGACGAGGATGAAGAGGTACCAGCGAGCACGCACTTCTTTCGAGGCGAGGGAGGCGTTCAGAAAAAAGCCCCCGAGGGGGTGCCAGAAACGAAGCGCGTCGCGAGGGGGGGCGGCCAGCAGCACCGAGGGCCCCCTGGTCCTCCTCGGTGCGGGGCTCTGCAGCCCACCCCCGCATCACGAGGGGGCGCGAGAGAGATGCAGAGGGCCTTGGACGCCCGAGCCGAGGTTCCTATTCCTCCCTCCTCCTCCTCCTCGTCCTCCTCCTCCTCCTCCTCCTCCTCCTCCTCCCTTCCTCCCTCCCTCCCTCCCTCCTCCTCCCTCCTCCCCCTTCTCCAGCCCTGAGGCCAAAAAACAATGACCATTCGCCTCCGAGCGGGGCGCGGCCAACGAACGCGGCCAAGGGTGGACCGAGGAGGCAAGGATGGAAGGGTACCCTTGGGAAGGGTGCCGATCCTTCCTGTGCGGGTTGACTGCTGCCAGTTCGGAGGGCCAGGCACATCAGGGACAGGGCCTCCTCTCTTCGCAGGCGTACCAGACCGACGCGCCCAGACCTGAGATCCCGAATGCGAAGACGATGCTCTCCATGATGGGGGGCCCCAAGGCGAACAACAGAAGGGCGTCCCTCCGAGACCTTGATTGTTCTCGGCCCTCGTGCCTGCTAACAGACTCGTCGCTGTGCTGTGGCGAGCGAACCGAACAGGCTCTGATACTCACTCTCGATCTGGCCACCGAGGCGGGCTCCATCAATGGATGTGCTGGTCAATCGGCACCCCTCCATCACCGCCAGGATATAATGCACTCTTAGTCGTGACCAAGAGCCAAGAGAAGGGATGGGCCCAGCAAGTGTTTGACGGGGTGAAGGGAAAGGAAGACGGGGAGGAGGGAGGAGAGAGGCAGACAGGAAGGAGAGGGAGAAAGGAGGAAGGAGGAGGAAGAAGGAGAAGGGATGCAGGATAAGGTAGGCGGGTGTGGAGAGGAGAGGGGGGAGGAGGAAGGTTGTCGGGGGTTCAAGGGTAGAGAAAGCGGAGTGACAGCAGTTGGAGGATGAGAATGGTGATGACGAGAAAGGGCAGGAGGATGGACAATGGATGAGGGAAGCTCTCGGGAAGAGGACGAGGGATGGGGCTCGGGAATCTCCAAGAGCAGCTCCTCATGCACAAGTGCACGCGCAGCCGTTTGATGGACGACGCGTGCGGCACGAGGGAGAGAGGGGACGCACGAGGCGGAGGACGAGACGATGGCCCGGACGAGGACTGCGAAGAAAGAGGACGGGAGGAGGGGGAGGAGGAGGAGGAGGAGGAGGAGGAGGCGGAGGAGGAGGAGGAGGAGGCGGAGGAGGAGGAGGAGGAGAAGGAGGAGGGGGGGGAAAGATGTCGAGGCGCGAGACCTCGAGACGTTCTCCCTGGCGACCTCGTTCGCGGCCCGCTCCCTCTCCACGCGTCCTCTCGGGCCCGCGGGGGGGGGGGGGGGGGGGCGCCGCTCCCCCGGCGCCGCGGGGGCGGACGCCCCGAGGGGAGAGAGCAGCACCCACCGCGGCGAGGAGAGACTGGTCTACTCTGTGAGAACGGTTTTTTGAAGGCAGATCTGCCTTCAAAAAATTGGTCTACTCTGTAAGAACGGTTTTTTGAAGGCAGATCTGCCGAGAGACGGCGGTGGGCCCCCCGCCCGGCCCGGGGCCGCCAAGGAAGCCGGAGTCCTCCGAGGCGGGGCGGCGACGGGCCGTGCAGCGACCTCGGAGCCCCAGGGGACCTCACCGCACGCGGTCCGTCGCAGCTCGGGCGTACTGGTAGAGCTGGGTTTCGTGGAACCTGGTTCAGTCCCAGACCCCCTCGAGCAATGAAAAAATCATGACGGGAGGTTTTTCCTGACTTTCGGCCTCCGCGGGCCCTCACCGGGCCTCGGGAGCGTCAAAAAACGACTCAGGATGTAAAGCCGGTCATGGGGAAAGGGTCGGGACCTCTGGGGGTCGACGTAATGAAAAAATCATTACGTCGGGGGTCTGGGGTGATCTGTACTGGGGGCGCCCCCCCGTCCCAGTTCCACTGGCCGGAACTGCCGTCAGCCGAACAAACACAAGCTATGGCAAACCTGGTTTAGTGATCCTGGCCGATTCACAGGCTCTGCATGGGGCCCTACCACTGACCGTGTCCCCTTACCCGGGGTCCTGGCCATACCCGAGCAGCACGGTCTTGGGACCCCGGAGGCCCCTGTCGGCAAAGGCATCCTCGGAGAGGGGCTCGGGTCCCAAAACCGTGCGGTGGTCCCGAAGCCCCACCGGCTCACCTCACGGTGTGGTCCCCACCCCGTTTGGGGGTTCCCGCCAAGAGCCGCGGACCCGAGACCCCTCCCGGGGGTCCATCCTGACCCGCTCGCTGGGGCGGATCCAGCCATGGCGACGAGGAGCGAGCCTCTCTGGGAGGCCCACACGGTACGGACAGCGCCAGGGAGCAGAGAGGAGGAACGAAAGAGAAGGCCGCCAGCAGAGACATGCTCTTCGAGGTTCTTTATGAGCGTCGTGGGGGCGATAACCCCACCCGACAGCCCCACATCGACCCCCGTCGCGGGCAGCCACCGCGCGCCGTTGAAGGCGCTTCGACCCCCGCCGCGGCGCGACGGCCAGGCGAGGTCGACCCCCGTCGGGGGGGCCCCCCCCACGCTTATTCAGAGACCCAGAAAACCCTCTGGGAGCTCCGCGCGGATTTCTTGGGCAGGGCCTGCGGCGCTGGACTCCCCTCTCCCGGCGCGCGGGGAGCGGCGCCGGGAGCGGCGCCGGAGGCGCCAACCGGGGGGGGGGGGGGCCCAGCGCGAACCCAGGTATCCCTGCGGAGGTGCAGTCATCGGCCTGACCTGAGGAACGATAAATAAGGAACGAAGCCCCTTCTCGCCAAGGAATAACGAATAAGGAACGATACGTAATAAATGGCGCATAGGCAAGGATAAATAACGCATGCAAGCCTAAGGAACGACCGAGCTCCTTTTGAAACATAAGCGTTCCTTATTCAAGCCGCTCACTGTAATACATGTGGGGTGAAGAGACGTGCGCCTTTCGTGCACCCGTTGGGCCCGCGGTGGAAAGTCCAGAGCCATTTAGGGGCCACCTTCCAGCAAGTACGCGGCTCTACGGGGGGAGGGCGGACTGCCGACCCACTCGCCACTCTGCTCGGTGCGGGATCCCGGGCTGTAAATGGATCGGTGGGAATTCAAGCATGGACCGTATGAGCACTCCGCGATCTCCAGTACGCACGCACACAGATGCGCCCGTGCCGCCACACCCGACGGCCCATTCTGTCCCCACACGTGCGCACCGAACCCACCGCCTGAGGCGACCCCCCCCCCCGCGCCCCGCGAAGAACACCACATTCCTACCCTGACACGCATCTGCGAGGCTTCTGGTGAAGCACTGCATCCCGACTGGGGGAACTGGTAGATACAAATACCGCGCTGCTCCCCTGACCCCTCCCGGGGAGCGCCTCGGCCAAGATCCCGAGGCGACCCCAGCCGAGGTGATCGGGCACCCGCAGCATCCCCGCAACGACGAAAGAGAACCGCGAGACGACGAGGACGACGACGACGAAGAGTCCAACAGGGCCCCTGGCAGGGCCTGACCTAGCAGGGCCTGGGACCAACACGATCAGTGTGCTAACTATGTTTGGTTTATGACAACGACTACGACAGCCATTATGACTACGGCTGCGGCTACCACTACAACTGTTACTACTGTTGCTGCTACCACTACTGCGACCACTGCGACCACTACCACTACTACTACTACTACTACCAAGTCCTACTAGGCCTACTACGAAGACTGCTCCTACTATTACTACTACTGCTTTTACTACTACTACTACTACTACTACTACTACTACTACTACTACTACTACTACTGCTACGACTACTACCACGACTACGACTACTACTACTACTACTACTACTACTACTACTACTACTGCTACGGCTACGACTACTGCTACCACTGGTATTACCATTTCTTCTTTTCCTATTACTACCATCACGACTGCTCCTACTACAAATACTACTACTACTACTACTACTACTACTACTACTACTACTACTACTACTACTACGACTACTACTACTACTACTACTACTACTACTGATACGACCACGACGACTACAGCTACTAATTCAACTATTACAGCTCATACTACTACTACTACTACTACTACTACTACTACTACTACTACTACTACTACTACTACTACTACTATTGCTACTACTACTACTACTGCTACAACGACTACGATTCAAACTGCGACGAGTACTACTAATACTACGACTACTACTGCAACTACTACTACTTGTGCTACTACCTCCGCTACTAAACGTAAGATTACCAATGGCCGTGCTAGTAGTAGTACTCGTCCTAGTACTGGAACTGGTACGAGAACGACGACGACTACTCAAACTGCTTCTACTACTACGACGCCTACAATTACTAGTACGATTTCTACTCCTCCTACTACTACTACTACTACTGCTACTACTACTACTACTACTACTACTACTACTGTTACTACTACTACTACTACTACTACTACTACTACGACTACTACTACTACGATTACGAATGCGATTGATGCCACTACGATCAATACGGCGACCGCTACTACTACTACTACTACTACTACTACTACTACTACCACCGCTACTACTACTACTACTACTACTACTACTACTACTACTACTACTACTACTACTACTACTATACTATTACTACATTATACTACTATTTACTATACTACTATAACTACTACTACTGCTACTACTATATACTACTTACTACTCTAACAACTACTATACTACTAACTACTACTACCACTGCTACTACTACTAGCATACTTACTACTACTGCTACTACTACAGCGACTATAATACTACTACTACTGCTACTACTACTACTACTACTACTACTGCCACCACTACAGCTACAGCTACTACTTCTGCTGCTGCGACTACTGCTATAACCACCACTACTACTAATACAACTACGACTGCTTCAGTCTTTTAACAAGAAACACGACTACTACTACTACTACTACTACTACTACTACTGCTACTACTGCTACTACTACTACTACTACTACTACTACTACTACTACTACTACTACTACTACTACTACTACTACTACTACTACCACTAGTGCGACTACTACTACTACTACTACTGCTACTACTACTACTACGACTACGACTACTACTACTACCACTACTACTACTACTACTACTACTACTACTACTACTACGACTACTACTACTACTACTACTACTACTACTACTACTACTACTCCTACTACTACTACTACCACTACTACTGCTACTACTACTACTACTACTACTGCTACTGCTACTAAAACGACGACTGCGAATAAGACTACTACTCCGACTACAACAGCTACTGCGTACTGCCACTGTACTGCATCACGCCATCTAGTACTACGACGTATATCAAAACATCTATGTATTTATATATGCATACATGTATGCATAGTTACACACATATATATATGCTTAGATGCGTATGTATTCGCATGTTGATTTGTGATACCTCACTGTGCTAAGAAAAACGTGCAACACAACGGAGGCACCACATGGTACAAGTGGGGCCCTCAAATCACAAGACAACTCGCAGGTTGGGCCCCGCCGCCAGCCCAAATGTCGAGCATCACTCGGGCGTAGCCACGCACGCATTCGAATGCCCACAGTTCGTCCTCGTACTACTCGTGTTCCTCCCCGTCCTCCTCCCCACCCTAATCGTCGTCGTCGTCGTCCTCCTCCTCCTCCTCCTCCTCCTCCTACTCCTCATCCTCCTTGTGTTCCTTCTGCTCCAGCTCGGTTTCCGATCGGTTGCGCCATACGTAGCGCCCTCGGCGGCTGAAAATAAAACCGTTTCCTATCGGTTGCGCCATAGGTCGTGCCCTCGGCGGCCGGAAATAAAACCGTCTCCTGTCGGTTGCGCCATGGGCTGCGCCCTCGGCGGCTGGTAATAAAACCGTTTCCTATCGGTTGCGCCATAGGTCGTGCCCTCGGCGGCCCGAAACAAGTGGCACGTGTGCCGTGGCTCTTGCACAACAAGAAGGGGGAGGAGGAGGAGGTGGAGGAGGGGGGGGAAGAGGGGGCAAAATATCGCAGAAGAGTGGACAACCAGGGAAACAAAAAGGAGCTTCTGAGAGCGAGCTCGAGGAGACTCCAAGGGCCGTCCCCCTCAATATGGCTTCGAAGACCTTTGACAAACTCCCAGGAGGCGTCCAGCAGACACCCGGACGCGAGGGAGAAGGGGGGAGGTGGTGCGACGCGACGCGGAATAAAATACTCGGAGCGGAGGGGGCACGGGGCGGAGATCCCACTGGGGCGTCGCTGGGGACGCGGGGGGGCTCGGGGCAGAGGGCCAAGGGGCGGGAGGGGTTCTACTGGGGCGCTGGGG